TTCTTCTGGTAGCTGCCGTACAACTTAAATAGTAGTTTGGCACACACCGTATTTTTAGAAACACAGTACTGAAATTTTGCATAAATTAATATGGTAATACGGCAACTTAAAGTCCCAAAGACAGTTATGCCAAATTTAATCGCACATAGGATAACAAATTCGTGCGGGTATCACAGAGTTGACAAGGTCAACTCTATTTTTTTTCGTTTTTAATTAAACTAACTTGAATTCCAATTTTTATTTTACTTTAATTTTTTCTCCCCAAAAATGGTAAATAATTTTATGGTAACTTTTGCTATGTTCATTTACCAAACCATTTCTTGGCAAATACTTTATTGGACAGAAAAAAGCAAAATACTTGAAGAGCTATTATTTTTTTTGAATTAAAAACATTCAAATGTATTCAATTTATTTGGCAGCTAAGATATATGAAAATTACATCACATTTATACAAACATATTATATATATACATTCATGCAATATGCACTTTATATCGAAATAAAATTTCGAAATTCAATTTGACCGTTAATAAATACTAAAATATTATGAATTGGAAAATATCAACGATTTATTTTAATGATAAAAAGGTAACAGAGTAGGAATTTCTTCTAATTTAATTATTCCACATGCCATTTCATTTGTTAAAGTAATGTATATCTTTATATTATATAGGATGTACGATAGACTGGTTCTGAAGACACATATCTGAACACACTCTGTAACTACCGAAGCAGAGTTTCAGAGTGTGTGTAGACTTACAAAAAATGTTGAGGGATATTTTACTTTTTGTGCTTTTCTTCTCGAGTTATAAGCCATAAAAATTGGATTTTCTGAAAACTATACAATTTTTATATTTTTATTTATAACTGAGGGAATATGATCAACTAACTTGTTGTATTCATTTGAAGCTCAAGAAATTCTATTCTTACACACTTGGCTGAAAAAATAAATAAAGCTTGCCGAATCACAAAACAAGAAGATTTATAAAGAAATCAATGTTCTTCACGCTTTATGTCGAACACCCTGTATGTACGTAATGTATAAATGTAGTTTTAAAATATTTTCAACTTTTTCTTTCAAAATTGAAAACATATAATTTTAAGTTTTTAACATTTAAAATTTTTGAATAAAATTTTTGCAATAACATTCCTATAAAATTGGCGCCTAATGGGAAATAAAAAGTTTCTCTTTTTTATTTCTTTAATTTTGTCAATATCCTGCAAAAATTCAATATCAATGGCATATATGTGTATTTGTATAATATCTTAATTGTGCATATACACATACCTAAATACACCTATATTTAAATAACTTGTACTCGTATGTATTACAGAATTTCTTTGAATAACCATAATAGTTTGTATACCGTAATAAAAATTTTAAAATTGCATTTCGCTTTTATTTAAAAAAAAAACAAAGTTTTAAAATATTAAAAAATAGCTACGTATGCTTATATAATTTATAAATTAAAGAAAATTCATCAACAATAATTGGTTTTATTTTTTTTTTTCATTTTTAAATAAATGCCAATTTATTTAATAGCATACCCCGTAATGTATTTAATAAACGATAACGTAGAATATTAAGTGCATGACAGACGGTTATGCTTCACTTAAAATTTCATGTATGGTCTATGGATATGATTTTTTAGGGTGCACATTACTCAAAATAAATTAAATATGCATGCCAATTAAAAATGCATTTATTGATGATTTTCCAGTGTATTTGCAATATTTTATACGATACAATTGAACTTTTCAATTTTTTCATAAATATATGCAGACGCATAATCGGATATCTTGACTTTTCTTAAAATTATTTTGGGTCAAATTGAAATTAAGTATTCATAAGATTTTAAAGTAGATAAGATTTTTGTACAAAATTCATAGATTCTGAGTACAAAAATATTCAAAATTTAGAATATTTTATTTAATTTAAGGAACAAAAGTTAAGAACTTTTATAAAATTGAGAGGCAGTTTATTAAAAGGCCTTAACTAATAACTACATTTTGCAATATGTAGTGAAAACTGAGCTGTATTTTTGTTAATAAATGAATTTTATAAATCAAGTTTATTCATGAACATTATTGAATGATCAATTATGTTTGTTAAATTACTATGAATAACACATTTGAGTCACATATGAGCTACGAATATTTCACATTTATAGAATTTACAAAAATATATTTCATATCATACGTTACGTTTCTCCAGTACAGTATTTATGAAAACCTCTTTTATATTAAGCTTTGAATTGTTTTTATACGTAATATCTGAAAGGATAGCTTTTTAAGTATAGATAAATTGTGCGGCTATTTACAAAAATTTTACACCCTTTAAGATAACGAGGTTCTTATATATACTTAAGCCTTGAGTCTTTCCCGTCTTATGTCATTAAAATTAGTAAAATTTCCTTGTTATTTCTTTTCCTAATTTCTATAAAATCAAAGATTCCAAAGAAAATGTCTTCTCATTGAAAAAATGTATTTTTTTTTTCACTTGTAGCGAACAAATTAAGTCACTTTGTTTGACAATTATGTTTTTTCATGGCATTTTCAAACATTTGCGCTAACGTTTTAAAATTTACATGATAAAATTAAAACCATTGATTTATAATAATTTCTAGCCAAAAAACCAATCCATTGCGTTCTGCTCTTTAATTTCATATTTTAATGTACAAGACAAGTGAAGTTACTCCTCACAATTGACCACATTCACATATCTGCATAATTAAAACAAATTTGTGCATTTGTGAAAGAATACTTAATACATTTTTAATGTTGTTAAGATATAATGGCAAATATAGGAAATTTGGAACCACATAATATAATAGTTACTGTTATGAAAGTTTTAAATTGTTTTGTCAGTATTTTTTTTATTTTACTTTTTCAATAATTTTGTTTTTCAATCCCATCAATTTCAATATTAAATTTTTTATGTTTCCTTACGAAAAAAAACGAAATGCAACAAAAAATTGGCAATATTTGGTTTGCAATGCTTTACGAGTAATTATTCAAAAACAATTTTTTGATTTCTAAATTAACTTTCAACCACGCCATTCCCAAAAAAACCATTACTTAAATATTTAAAATAAAAAATAGATCTCTTATTTTCTGCATTTTTTATTAACAATCAAACAAAAAAAACGATGTAAATTGCAACTATTTCAGCTCTTATAAATATGACAACAAATGAACAAAAATAAAATTGGTTAAGTGATTGAATATCGATTATTGCATTTTTTCAGTTTTGCTTTTGTACAACATTTGATCAATAAAAAAATTAGAAAAGTGAATTAAACTTAAATTGCACATTCTATATGCCAACAATAATTTAATCTTATTTATTTTCTTTTTTTAAATAAATTTTAAAATAGCAAAACGAAATAAAAAAGAAAAAAGTTTTTCCACGCTATGTCTATTTTTTTTTATCACATGGGTAAATAGAACATGTAATATAGGTTAAGAAACAACGCTCTCAGATATTGATATTGGTTTGACAACTTTCGAATTAGATTAATATAAAATATTAGAGTTATAAGTGAATACAAATGTATAGCTAACTGTAAAATTGTTTTAGAAATATTCATAAATTGTTGCATATTTTTAGGATAAGTACACTAAATAAAAAATACCATTTCCATTATACTGAAATTGTGTAGTTATTTGAGGTTCAAATAAATTGTATTAATTACTAAATTTTCCGATAAAAAAAACTCTTACCGTTAACTTCCTTTCATATAAAAAAATTTCATAAAGTTCATAATTTAAAAAGAAAAATGAGTTTTCGAAAACTGAAGTCGAGGCCTTTACTCGAGTAGCTGAAGGTATACTTAAAACCATTTTAGAGCCAAGTTATAAATTAAAAAAAATTTAAAAAAAAATCTCCAGTTATTCTAAATGATAATTTTTTATATCAAATTTATACACAAAAATTGATTCATTAATAATATTGTTAAGTACCAACATTCTTGATTCTTTCACTTATATTTCTTAATTAACTCACACACTTGCACAACATTATTAATATATTGAAATTATATGTAAATAATTATATTAATGTATAAAAATTATAACAATAATTACATGTAAACAAGAAAAATGTGATAAGCTAAATTTTCTACAAAATTATCTACAAAAATTTCTACACAAAAAAAAATAAAGTAAAGTCAAACCAATGGTTTGTAAAGAAACAATTTTCCCTTGAACAAATGAAAACGCTGTTCTTAAAAAAAAATCTAACATTTTAAATTACTTTCATTCATATGTCAAAATATTTCAAACGATTCCGGTTTCAAACGGTTAATTGACAGGTTCCAAAGAGGAAAGATCCGTACGACTTATACAATCTAGAAAAAAACCAAAATCAAAAATAAAAAAAAACGGGCTTCATACAAAGTCATTACAATGCTCAAATATGGTATGCCGCGGTGTAAAAAACTAGCCAATAAACTTTTCTCAGTTTGCATAATTTAAAAAATATTTGGGGACTTGATGTAATAAATAATCAAAAAACTGCATTTTAAGGTCTTTGAGAGGCCTCCAAGTTTTTTTCCACGAAAATAATTTTGTACTATAGATCTACATTTTTATAACATTTCAGCTGTCTACCTTAAAGGTTGTTGAAGTTTTGTAAACAATTTCACGAACGGACGGGAAGATTGTAACTAATAAGCACTTTTTTCCGAAAAATATTTGGAAAAGTGCTAAAAAGAACGTCACACATAGTTTTTTTTTCCACATACTTACTCGAAAATATTATGGAATGCGTACATTCAGAATGCTTCAGTAATATTTTTAAATTAAACAAGCACTGACCTAAATTAGTTTTCTAAATAAAATTGTAATTTACATTATCGCTTTTAATAAAAAAAAAATAAAAATCAAAAACAAACGTAAATAAAAGAAGCTTTTATTAAAATGATAAAAATATTTTTAATTATAATTTTCTTAAAAACTCAGTTTAATTTTATTAAATCAGTTCAAAATATAAATTTAAGAGAATCATTTGAAAAAGAATTTGATAACAATGTTTTACCTATACCAAATACTGTTAATGTTCTTAGAAATGAGGAGCTTTTATGGAATTATGAAATACACAATGATTATTATGGGAAATTTTTCCAATTTGAAAATACCACCTTCAATGGAATATACGCAAAAGAATTTTTAAAAGATTTACAAAAAATTTCAAAGGAATCTGAAGAATATTCAGTACAAATATTATTTCGTTTGGGTTTTGAAAGTGTTCTTAAACCATTTCATGGAAATCTTATTTTATTTAAACTTATATATGGTGATGAAAATGGTTTAAATGATATTCGATTATGTTTTAATATTCGAATATATTCTCATTCTAATTCAATGAATTTTTATCATTCGAAAACACAAGAAATACAAAATTGTGCTAATATTGTTATGCAGAGGCATGTATGTTAGTTCAAATCAACTAAATTAATAAGAAAAAATAAAATTAAAAATATTTAGTAATTTTTAATTTGTTTTTTTATTTTAGTCAATTGCTGATGGTAAATGGCATTCTCTTGTGGCAACAATTACACGAAAACACACTAAAATATTGTTTGATTGCACACAACACTTTGAGGTATCAGTAAAAAATGGCAATTTTGGATTTTTAGAATCAATGACCAATGATGAATTTGCAAAAATAATAATTGGTGAAAAAAATACAGAAGAATATATACAGGTTTAGTTATATCGTTTACATCTATTTGCATTTATTTACATTCATGTCTATATACAAATCATGTGGATTTATAAAATAATATTCAGTAAAGAAAATTTTGATGGAAATTATCTTTTAAATCCTTGAAATAGTTACTCAAATCCATTAGCATTAAAATTTTTGATGTAATTTAATTGAAATACCAAGTCAAGTTAGGCAAAGCTACATTGCCTTTTGTACACGTTTCTAGAATAATTCTTTACAAAATTCTTTTGAACTATTCTCTAAAAGTAATGCGTATTGTTATTAGATTAATTTCTCTATTAAAAAATATTTTTGTCAGACAATCATTCTACTTGTTAATCCAGTTCATAATTCTATAAAACGTGCACATACCTGTGGCGTATATACTACATATACTTATATATAGGGAAATAATCTGTATTTTAATTATTGATATAGATTTTTTGTATGCACTATAATTATTTTCTAATAGTTAGAATTATTATAGCAATGCATTTAACTATATTCTTTAAAAGTTAATTTACTATTAAATTCTAGTACGCTTGGGTACGTTTGTACAACATTATAATTTGATATTTTGTTGCCTTTTATATAATTTGAAATATTTTAAAAAATTATTCATTTCCTAATTTATAAGTATAACCTTATGATATTGAAGTTATTGTCGTGTGCACAATGCCGCCTTCCATTTATAACATTTTAAAACATTAATGAAAACTCATTAATGATTTATATGTACTAATATAATTTTAACATTTACAGCTTGATGTCCGAGAATTAGAGATAACAACAGAAATCGGACAAAAAAATAGCTCAATATGCAATAGAGCTAAAAATTTAAACTCTCAGACTTTGTCCAATAAAATCGAATTACATAAAAAAATACATTTTAAATATGAGCAACGTGATTGGGATTTAAGTAAATTTCATCGAATGACAAAACAAATTTATACGAATATAGTTCTACCACAAAACAGTACATATTCTTCATCAAATTTTACTTTTGAATGTATTTTTCGATGCTATCGAAATTTTGAAGGACAATTAGCATTACTTTCAATGTTTGATTCAAAAGATGGAAACAATATGAATTTTGGTATAATTTCAGGAAAATCACTTGTTTGGAATAATTTATCAAGAACTCAAAGTACTTTTGAAGTTTCTCGTGGCGTTTTTAAAGAAAATGTGCATATTTTTGAAAATTTATAATTTTATATTAATTAAATATAAAATTTTAGGTACTAAATGGTGAATGGAATCATGTTTTGATAAAAATTATTACTTCCGAAACAACCAAAACATTACAATTTTACAGTAATTGTGAATTGTTAAAAGAAGATACACTTGAAGGATCATTTTTCTTTCGAGATACATTACAGCAAATTATTTTATTTAGAAATATTTCATTGGATAGATTTCAAAAGGTAAGAAATTATAATACAAAATTATGATTGTATATACACACAGTTTATACGTTTTCTTTTTAGTTCGACGTAAAGGAAATGAATTTGTATTGGGATCAAGAAGTTGATGAATGCAAATATCAACCTTAGAACTAAGAGATAGAATTGAAATTTTTAAGAATAAAAAATATATACATAAACTTGTACATAACACATTCAAATTTTTATATTATAATATTATTGCATATGTACTTGTACTTAAAAAACAATAATTAAATAGTTTTAAGTTGCTCTTATAAATGTTTGGGACATATTATTGTAAGAAGCAATGTAAGCTCTCAGATTTTTATACACAATACTCAAATAATTTCGATTTCCTTATATAATAGTACAAATTAATAATTGGATGTAATTAAGCATAAAATTTTTGAAAATATTTTTATATTGTAAAATAAAATTGAAAATTTTTAAAATGCACATTTTTTTTTTGTATTTTCTGGAACTTAAAAATTTTTGTAACACAACTAGGCAATTCAATTGTTTAATGTTGGCATACATTTGAGGTTAGACTTTTTTTTAATTGTGTATAGCAATACAGCATTACTGCAGTTTTGAAATCATAGATTTGTTATATTATTTTATTTCTATATTTTGCACTTCGAGTGCGGAAATCTTTTCAGGAATTGTTTGCTATATTCTTCTAAATCAAATCATCAGTTTCTTTATATACGATTTTTTTTCTTTTTTATTATTTAAAAGAGATATTGTGACAATTCCAAATTTCACATACCGAGTTTTGAAGGAAAATATGTTTATCATAGTGGTATTGAAAAAAGAAAAATTAAATCAGTTTCTTCTTCTACTAAAAAATTTACTTTTGCTTAGAATCTAATTACCATTTAAAATTAATATAAGTGTTTATATATAAGGATATTTTTACAATCTTATATGTATAATATGCAATCCTTTCATTAAACCAGCAAGAATAAATTAATCGGAAATTTTAAATATTAATATAGAAAAATACATATTGCAGTCAATTATATGTTGAAACCATTAAATTTTTTAATTATGAAATTTCTAATTTTTACAATAAATTATACTTCTTTGCTTGCCCATATCTATTTCCTTTTCCTATATGTACTCTTATCTATTCCTCTCTTACTTTGAAGTTATTGTACTGTAAGTAAATGCGAAAATATTCTACCCTGTTCCAGTAATTACACCGGATAATTTTTTATATTATTACTTGTTAAAATACTAATGCTGTGATTATATGAAACTGAACTCTAATTATAATATTTATATAATATGATTATATTACATAATCATATTATATAAATATTTTAATTATCTGTATGTATAAATTATGTGCTATGGTAATTATAAAACTATGCCCTTTACAAGAACTTTTCATACATTTGATCTGTCTTATTACAATTATTTCAAAGTAAGTTCAAAGAATGTAATTACGTGCATACATAGATACGTATAGTATGTATATAGAATTATGTTCAAACAACTATGAAAATTACATCAAGTACATCTGGATAACATTAAAATATATATATAGCATTTAATAATTTCCTATAGAGTTGTCGAGTAATATTTATAAAAGCGGTCTTTTAAATTATCCCTCACATTGGAATTGCAATAATGCTGTAATGATACATAATTTAACTTGCAACCGTTAATTGTTACTTCGGTTCCGATATCAGGATTATTAAAGTTCAAATAAACCTTAAATTAAGAAAGCAATTTCATTCTAAATATGATTTTATAATAGAACGGCAACATTTTTCATAATAGATATGTTGAACAAGCGGAAACATTCACTAACATTAATATAATAGGCATAACAAACTAGTTTTAACTATATTTATACAAAAGAAAAAAGTGTATGCTCCAATAAAGATCTGAAATTTGTACCTTATCGCAATTATTCTTTTCTGAAATTTAAAATTTATTTTTTAAATCAGTTCATTTGCAGTTTCTTAACATTAATTATAGAGAATAAACATTTTATTAATGTGTCAATATTTTAATATTTATTTAATAATTATAATTTGCATCTCAATAGTTGTGCCCTCAAGTAAATTAATTTCAACCGAAATTATAGAAAGTGAAAAGCAATATGAAAAAATACCCGAAGTTAATTTATTTAATAGCATAGAAAATTTTTGGGAATTTGAGAGAAGCACTCAAAATGATATTTTATTTTATCAATTTATAGCCAATTATGGATTTAATAAATATTTAAATTTAAATCTAAATGAAATATCAAAAATTGAAGAAATTGGTCTTAAAATAACATTACGTTTTGGATATGAAGCGACAATTCATCCATATTTTGGAAATATAACTCTATTACAAATTTTATCTCAAACTGGTTCAATTATTTGTATCGAATTGGATTTAAAAGAAGAAAATTTCAAAATTCAAGCATCGCATATCATTGAAACCACAAATAATTGCTTGAATATCCCAGTTATGAAACAGGTTAAACAATTTTAAATTATTTGAAATTTAACACCTTTTACCAAAATGCAAGTCGAACATTAGCTCCAGTTATTCAGTCTATAAGACGGTGACTCGAGAACAAATGACATTAAATTTTGGCACACGGACAATTTCGAAATTGAAGTAACGCTATGTATTATTTTACATAATTCAGTTTAAGAAGTGTAATTGCTAAAAGTTTTAAAACAGAACAGTATTACTGCAATTGTTTGTTTACTGATTCTTTACAATACAAAAACTTTGAATGCAGTATACTGAAAGTAATAGTTATTAAATGAAGTGATTAATTCGATAAACAACAAAAGTAAATACACATGTGTCGTAATCGTCTTAATTAGATTTTTATTAATCGCTGAATAAGAAAATTTTGCATTTTGAATATAAAAGTTCCAAAAATTAAAATTTATTTACTAACAAATATTTTCTTTTTCATTTTTCTACAAGCAGTCACTTGCTGATGGAAAATGGCATACCTTGCAGATATTATATGGACCTAACCATAAGAAATTAATAATCGATTGTCAAACTATCTTCGAAATAAATTATACAGAACCAAAACAATTTCTATTTCATGAAAATATCAGCATTTACAATGTTATCATAGTGAAAGCAATTAATATTTACGGTCTTTTACAAGTTAGTTCTTTTTCATTTTTCAAATTTATTATAATCATAATTTAATTTTAAAATTAATTTATTAAGGTCGATATCAAACATATTATTTTGAGTCCGATTACAGCAAAATTCATTTCATCTTGCAATCCTTCACATACAAGTATTAAAAGTTTAATTAATAAACATCGCGTTGAATTGAGTAAAAATTTTTTATTCTCACAACAATATCGTGATTGGAATGATGAAATTTTTTATCGTTTTGACAGATCATATAAAATGTCATTTTTAGTACCGGATGTCATGTTTAAAAAACATTTTGAAAAGGATTTTATTTGGGGATTTCAAATGAATTTTCGCATTTACAATACATCGAATGCAAATGAAATTCAATTTTTATCATTGTATGACTCAAAATGTAATCGAACAATAAGTTTTAGTATGAACAAGAATATTATTTTAACATTCAATTATAATTCATATAACCAAAATGGCTTCAAGAAGAAAATAAATATTATTCTCAAAAATTTAGTAAGTATAAAATATTGGTAGCATGCCCATTGAAATTTTATTTCAAAATCAAAACACTAAGATATTTTTATTGTAAATTTGTAGATTCTTGATGGAATTTGGCAAAAACTGACTATAAGATTTGTTAATGAATTAAAAAGTAAATCATCTAGCACGTTTCTCACTGTAATTAAATTTTATTTAAATAAAAAATTGATTAAATCTCAAGATTTAAAGGAAAAAAATTATTGCTTCTTTGGAGATAGTTTACAACAGGCCACAATATTTGAAAATATGATTGCTTATCCATTACCAATTGTATGTAATTCCAAATACATTTTTATTAAATTAAATATTTTTATATAAACGTACAACATTATATAAATTAATAAAAAGTTCAATATTTACAGATCGATATTAAAAAGATGGAAGTGTACACCAACGATTATATAAAAGTAATAAAAATTTTCTAAATATTTTCAAACAAAAAAAAAATTAATATTAAAAAATTCATATCGTTCATTTGAAAAATTTATTTTACTATACACATATCCAAATAATATGAACACCTATTCCTCATTTTACGCGAAAAATATTCGTACAATTTGAAAAAGTAATTTTTATATAGAAAACGTATGTAGAACGAAAATAGCTATGATTAAGATTGAATTAAAAATATCAGTGAACAAATATAATAATAGCAATTTGTTGTTTAAAATCAATTTATATTCACAATCAAAATTTAGTTTTTTTTTCATGTTTCCATATGTTATAGCAAATTAATTGCTAATATAAAAACGAAATTCTTGAAACATCAAATTTATTAATTTTCTATAAAAAATTTTCTATAATTCAAAACCAATTAAGACCATCTAAAATGAATATTAAGTTAAGCGAAGAATAAGTGTATTTTATTTAAAATATTTTACATTTTTTCAAAGAATTTTTCTATACACATATACAGCATATAGATATTACAGATGTATGTGTAATGCTAAAAATATATAAATATTATAATATGTACAAAGTCATTATGAAATGTCTAAATAAATAAGAATGCAATAATAAAAAGTTCTTATAGAAAAGAAATTCACGGTAGATTTATGTATTTGTGTTATGTGTACACTTTATTTTACAAAATAAGCAAGAATTATTATTTTTTATTTATAAAACGGCATTAAAATTTAATCTATTAAATATTTAATATTAAATTTGAATTATTAATTATATTTGTTTTTAAAGTATAATTAATTTCAATTTGACATTTTTGATGAAATTTTTTGAAATTTTTATTTGTACATATGTACCCAATCTTTAATAAAGTTGGGTCAAACCAATGGTTTGTATTGTAGCACTTTTCCCTTCAGCAAGTGAAAATTCTGCTTTTAAATACAGTCTATGCCTATCTATCACACTATTAAAATTATTTTCATTCATATACAAAACTTTTTATAGAATTGCATACATTTAGGATGATGCATACATGCAGTCTTTGAAATAAAGCAAAAATTAATATAAAGAGGGGTTAACATAATGCTCGATTTTAAGGTTTAATTGTGTGAGTTAAGAAAAATAATTATATTTTTTAATATCATGGAATTTA